ACACACACACACACACACACACACACACACACACACACACACACACACACACACACTGGCCTGCAGCCTATGGGCGTGAACAAGCTGCAGCTCCAGAAATAGCGCAGCTGCGTGTTGTTGGGAAGCTTCAGTGAAAATGGCTGAAGTTCTCTCACCGATTATTACTCGACAAGTAAGGAAGGAAAAACGCGAACCCGGAACCCAAACCGTGGAGATCGATCTGAGAGAAGTGGAAGACTGTTTCATCTACGATCGACGGGGAAACTCTTTTCCTTTTAAGAGTTTATATCAGGACAGGAAATCTGTCATCATTTTCGTGCGGGTAAGGGAGGAAAATAAAAATAWAAAAACTTTTGGTTTTAATGCAGCTGCAGATGAGATTTTAACTTTAAGAAACGTTTCTTTTAACTCTTAATTGAGTAAATGAAGTAAGAAAATATGTTTTGGTGAGCATCATGAGCTTTTAAACTTTTCAGTAAAAATTCTGGTGGAAGTCCTTAATTTTAAATCAGGGATGTCCAAAGTGTGGCCCGGGGGCCATTTGTGGCCCCTGAACTGATTTTGTGTGGCCCCTGACTTCAGTTCAAGAATTATACTACCCGGTAATTTGTGTACACATTTGTCCCCCCGGAAAAGGTTTTTGATGTGAATGGAGACTTTCTATTTATTATTAGGGCAAATTTATAACAAAGTAAAATCTTATAACAAATATTGGCAACAATACCAATTATTTGTCTTTAAATAATCAGACTCGTAGCTTAGTGACTTCTACTGAAAAGCTGATTTTGCTGCACTCCAATCTGCTTTAAATTAATTTATTAAATTTGTTTGAATACAGAAAGCATTTTCAACAAAAGAGTGACCTAAATCCTGATTTTATTGATCAGAATTTACTAAATTGGGTTATTTTTTCCCCAATTGAAACCTAGAAAATTGCTAAATTTCTTTCAATAAGGGAAACCTGCAAAACACTTTTAAAGTTCTGGATCTAGATTAATTTACACATCCATTTCCAGCAAGAAATCTGACTACTTTATTTGTTTAATTAAAATATTCAATGCTCAGTTTATTGTTGAGCAGGTAAAGGAAAAATATTTTTGGCCCTCAAGTCCTTCTGACTTTATGGTTTTGGCCCACGTGACAAAATGTTTGGACACCCCTGTTTTAAATGAAGAGAGGGTGAGATCACATTTCTAATTCTTCAATATCCTCCATTTCAAATTCAGAATATAGCCTACTTTAAAATATTCCTTCTGACTTACAACCAAGCTCCATYGTATATTAAAGTTTTGTTCTCAGACTGTAAGTTTACTTGTGGTTCATAGAGTTTCTTAGTAAAAACAGGATGCAGTGTTTTCAGTCATAAACCTCCGACTTCACAATTCCAAGTTCCACTGCAACTGGAAMGCAGCATAAGACCTTCCTTCTTCTGATTGTGTTCGGTTGAGCTATCYCTCAGTTCTGCTGCTATATGTCTTAAACTGAACAAACGTTTCCTCACTCCATTGCTGTCTTTACTTGCACTACGCTCCATTGTAAGTTTTTCTATCATTTACTTGTGTTTTCCCTCACATAAACTGTACCTGGACTAGTTATTTTGTGTTTGTTTGTGACTTTTTCCTCTCTGACCCCAAGGCAGATAGCCGCCCAGTTTGAGCTCGGTCCTGCTGGAGGTTTCTTCCTGTTAAAAGRGAGTCGTTCCTTTCCACTGTCACCWATGTGCTGCAGACGGGAGAAAATCTGWTGCAATCTGCTGGCTTCCTTAATTACTTAATAACTGTTAATAATTGGCATTTATAATCTATGATTGCCCTTCAGGTGATGTTTTTGTGAACTGGGGCTGTAAAATGAATTTAATGCGCAGATYTAAATATTCTCTAAGTGCAGGTGTGATTATTAAATTCTCATGTGATTTGATGTCTTGTCTCTGTCTCGTGTTTTTTTTGTTCCTGCAGAATTTCTTGTGCTACAGCTGTAAAGAATATGTTGATGATTTGAGTAAAGTACCAAAAGAAGCTCTGAAGGTGAGTCCTGACAACATATCCAGGAGACAAACATTGCAAAACAAGACAATTCTTCAAAATGAGTACAAATCAGATGATTAGTTGTGTTTTGGTCACCCAGAAATAAGTTTAAATTCTGATTCAGAAAATGTCTGTTTTTTTTATTTTTCATTATTTTTATTATTCTTGTTTTTGCAGGATGCTGGAATCAGACTGGTTGTGATTGGTCAGTCTGCTTTCTGTCATATAGAGGTAAATCAGTTATTATAGTAAAGCATGTTATTGTGTCGTCACCTAAATGGAAAAAAAGTAGTACTCAGTCTTGACAAATACTACTGAACCTGCTTCAAAGTATGAATAGTATTTTATAATTGATGATTGTTGCTGCTGTATGGAGTAATGGATTACACATTTAGAAGGCATTAATAAATCCTTTATGAAGAGCCCCTTTAGAACAGAGGTTCTCAAACTGGGGTCAGCAAGCTGTGCCTTGGGGGTCCTCAAATAATTGCAAGAAGTTTCTGGTTTTTATTTTTAAAAATGCATAAATATGTGGAACAATGTAGAAGTAAAACAAACATATTAACCAAACAAAAAATAATAATTATTCCCATGGCCTTTAGGGGCAGTAAATTATTTTTAATCGTGATGGGGGCCCTGGAAATGTTTCATTCTTGTAAGGGATACCCAGAACCAAAATGTTGGTGAACCCCTGCTTTAGAGAAGTGGTACTATTTAGTCAATCACATTTTTTTTCCTTTTTTATTGTYCGTCTAGCCTTTYTGCTTGTTGACGGGGTATCCTTATGAAATGTACGTGGACCCAGAAAGGTGCATCTACCAAAAACTTGGGATGAAGAGGGAGGAGACATTCACAGAYTCTGGTAATATGATGTGGGTTTAAAGAGGCTGCAAAGTTTGTTGATTGTTAAGATACGTTATGGGTATTTTGTGTGTGTGTGTACCCAGCACGCCCCAGTCCCCATGTGAAGTCTGGTTTGTTGATGGGCCAAATGAAGAGCATATGGMGGGCAATGACCGGTCCTGCTTTTGACTTTCAGGGAGACTTAAGTCAGCAAGGTGGAGCCATCATCGCAGGACCTGGTAGGTTGTCCTCTCTGCCTCCAGTCAGGATKACTTGACTGATTTTTTTTTATCTCCTTGTTTCTCTCTCTTCGAGCATAAATACTCACTAGGTTGTTTTGCAACTGTACTGTATCTCAAGCTGAAAGATATGCAATCCACCAGTGTGTGGCATCTCTCAAAGATCTTCAGTGTACACAGAAGGAAATATTCATCCTTACAGATAGCCAAGCTGCTATCAGAGCTCTCCGAGGGCCACTCTTTACATCATTACTGGCTTGAGAGTGTGCCGAAGCAGTCAACCAACTGGGGAGAGATAACAGTGTTACTGTTAAATGGGTACCAGGMCATACTGGCATTTATGGTAATGAGAGAGCTGACTAACTTGCAAAAGCTAGCAGTCAGGCTCACTTCAAAGGACCAGAGCCTGTTGTAGGTATCTCAACAACAGTCTGTAGGACTGCCCTACAGGCCTGGATTAGACGTCAACACTCAATCTGATGGACTCTAGACAGGCACGAGAACTGATTAACAGCCCAAATCTAAGGTTTGGGAAAGCTCTCATCTCCCTGTCAAGGAAAACTCTAAGTACACTGGTTTGAGTCCTAGCTGGGCACTATCTGCTCAACCATCACAAAATGGTGATAGGACTCCATGACAATGGTCTGTGTGATGCCTGTGGCATTGAATTAGAGATCTCTTTGCACTGTAGGCCACTGCCTGGCTCTGAGTGGTCAAAGGAAAAGAATTCTTGGGGACCCCTTCATGGATCCTGAGAAGCTCAGAACACTGAGTGTTTCTAACCTTGTGTCCTTCATCTGAGAGATGAGGAGGTTTGAATGTCTTTTTGGGGAGAGCAATGGGCCYACTTAGGAGGCCTCCGCTCGTATGGATTTTATATCCATCCCCACTCACCATAACAATAACCATATTCTCTCTCTTCTCTCTTTCTCTGCAGGCTCTCAAGTTCATTTTTGTCACTTYGATATGAACCACCTGGATCACATGCCCATCCCCTGGCTCCTTCAGCTCGCTGGAGTTCATCACACTCTGGACTTCGGTGATAAACCAAAGATCATCCATGTGTAGCCTGAACACCTGCCTGCTATAGAAAGCTTGGCAGGRAAGGTGTGTTTACATTGGGGTTCGACACGTTATTTGCTCCCCTCAAATGCTCTTAATCTGCCATGGACTTCTCAAGTTTGATCAAAATGTGAGATTATTACAGAGGGTTGTGACAAGGATCCCCAGAACCTCAGGGATGTTTGGGTTCAAAATTGTTTACAAGGTTAGTTTCCCCAGTTTAGCTTCATGAGTTTTTTTTTTTCTTTGTAAGATAGTCGTCCTAATTCTAACACATTCTCACTCCCGACTCATCACATATTGACGCTTTTCCAAGGTTCCCTCTGCGTCTTATTTTGACGCGTCGGGTACATCCGTCGTTTCATTTTTTGACATACCAGGCATTTCCGTGTTCCCTCAGCGTCCTGGTTTGATGCGTTGGGACGCARAATGTAGGGGTCTTTGAGTTGGGGTCCGTGGTTAACATTAGGGATCAGATTTAATGGTTAATTTTAGGTAGTGGGGTCAGGGATAGGATGTCTAGGACGAATATTATGTAATTTTAAGCTTTGGAACACGTAGTTCACGTGAATTTCCTACGATTTCTAAAAATGGTTAATTTTAGGTATCAGGGTTAATGGTTAATTTTAGGTACTAGGGTCAGGAAYAGCATGTCTAGAGTGAATAAAGGTAATTTTAGGCTTTGGGACGGTTGTTTTGGTGCATTTTCTACACTTTCTGAAATTATGACAACGGATTCCGCCCCATCTCATCAATAACTGACGCAAGGGGTGTACCCGACGCGTCAAAATCGGGCACAGAGAGAACCTTGGAAAAGCATCAATATGTGACGACTTGGGAGTGAGAATGGGTTGCATCTTGACCTYTTGGAGACCCACTTTAGTGCCTGATGGATTATTTAAGGGTAGATTTCAGGCCGTGAAAGAGACATTTTTACAAATGTCCACCCTATTTGTTTGTATACCTTCAACTAATTGGCTTGCCAGAATAAAACTGAATGCAGGAACACAGAAAATGAATCTAATTTAAGCTGAACTAACTGGAAAAGTTAAGTTTGAGTCTTATAACATGAACATGAGAAGACATTTAACCCTGTTTCTTACAGGATTAAAATAAAATGCTTATGAACATTTGACCTTTATTTTCAGCGAGGAAGGATGCAAATGACGTTGCGTCCCGGGTCAAATGTCTCAGCAGTTGTTGCATGTGTTTGTCACCTCCTGCTCTGTTTTTTTTATGTACAGAAATCTGATACCTGGATTTTTTTTATGTGTGTGCTTTGCTTAGAGCTGCATGAGCATCTAAAGCAAAGTGACAAGGGGGGGTGGGGGGGTGAGATCAGATAAAATTGACCCCAGAACAAATCATAGTCTCCATGACAAAATATTAACCTAAAAGTAAAGAATCCAAAATATTTCCTCACTATTTTACATTCCTGTGCAATCATGTCCGCATTTCAGTAACAAATTTTTTTTTTTCAATATTTCTTAGATTTTCGTCTAAACTGCTGTTTTTTTTTTAGGTTTTTCTTTAAGAGGACAAACTTAAGTGTTGAGGGTTAAATTATTTCTTTATTGCAGCTCATAGTTGAATGCTTTAAGAATTCATAAGCTGGTCTGAATTCAAAGAGATTACAAGGAGATAGAAAAAGTGTTTTGTTACGTTTTATAATTTTCCTGTTCTTTTTTTACATGTTGAATAAATTTGAAGCTGTGTTATAAAGTATTTGCTTACTAAACTCTTTTAGAGCAGCTGCAGTGCTGGTTTCTTGTCTTGTTTTCAAAACTTTGATAGTTTTTATTCAAATAAATTATTTTTTTCTTTCTTGATTGCATTCACGTTTTCATTCATATTGGTGCACCCAGAAAAGTTTTAATGGGTGGGCCTTGTGGGGGGCCGCTGAAACTCCATGGGACCAGAACTTCAGATTTGTAATGTTGTCATTTGACAAAGACAGAAATATGGATTCACCTTCTGATATAGACCTATAGGCCTGTTTCAGTTTGGATAGATAGATCTACACAGTTTTTTAAGACTAGATATTATTGAAAACAAATCACTGTCACTACTCAACTCACTGAAGCTTGCATTGTTGTTGTTGTTGTTGTTATTTTTTGTGCACATGACCTATTGAGACTTCCTGCGATGRCGCCAATAAAAACATCTGCAACTTATGGTTCCCTTTGGGTTGTGCATTGAACATTTAAGGGGTCTGCTATTGCACGTCTGACAACAGAAACCTGCCCCTGCGAGGAGACGTCACCAACACCACCACAGAGACTGGCTGACACACACGCACACGCGCGCACACAACACAAGCACGCACATAAAGGGCTCTTGACGGGGCACCGAAACGCAGACAAGCAGCTCGCCTGCAGTGGAAAACAAAACAGAGGTGGTCTGCAGCAGACATCTGCACAATGTCCGCCGCGCAGCTCTGAGGAGAAAACAATGAAGCGCAAGAGCGAGAGGAGACGAGCGGAGTCGAGGAAAAAGCGCTGTGCAGCTCCCAGCAGCTCRGAGGCGGAGCCAAACTCTGATATTTACATTGAGATAACAGGTAAGAGGGCTCTGCGCGATGAACCCTGGCAACTTTCAGCCCACTCGGCAGATGCACGGAGACACAGCCTCGTTTTAAACGCAGCAAAAGTCCTTGATTTTCCTCCGCTTTGCCCCCAATATGGCGACACCGTCTGTGTCCCCCCTTTAGCGCGTTAGGTTTGCGCAGATCCACCTTGGCAAATATGTGCGCGCAGGAACGACTCMTTATTGCATGTCGTTTATTTCCTTGTAATCAGTGACACCATCACTCCTCTTCGTGCACGCTGTTCGTTTTAACCACAGCGTTTGTTATCCGTGTACAAATGCGCAGCGCGGTGCAATAACTGTAAACGTGAATCCGCTCTCAACCCCTGATCGTGTTGAATTTCACAACTTTTTTTTTGACGTTTCCTGGTTCCATCACATTCATTAAAGCTCGAGTCTGAAAGAGGGAGGTTCGTCTCAGTGAGAATCTCAAATCTGACTGGCTGTCAGATCATCCTAGCAACCGCTCGCAGGGCCTATCAGGTCTTTCGTCTTGAGAACTTTAAACTAAAAGAGGCGGGACGATGCTGGACGAGCAGCGCTATCTGTCCAATCGCGTGGCGCCGTGCGTCTGCCGCAACCAATGGAAAGCCGCAGGACGCCAGGGAGGAGGAGTCGCGCGCGCGGGGTGGTGGTGGTGGGGGGGCTCAGTTTTAGCAGAGTGCGCACTTGCACTCGACACTCCCCTTCTCTCTTCGGTTGGTGACTTTTCTCCTTTTTTGTAAACAACTTCAAGGGAGAGGTTTATTTAAACGTAACGTTTTTCAAATATCTGCTTCTAGCAAATTTTTTATAAACCTCGAAACATACTTTTTGGGTAAGTTTTACTTGGTATGCCCAAGTCTTAGTGAGGAAATTGACTCCATTAGTCCGTACATTTTTATGAGTCAGGGAAAAAAAAAACGTAATGTTCAAGTCTGTTTGCAAAATGACTTCTGACGATGTCTTATCGAGATGTATGGAGTTTTTAAAAGGTGAGTTACCAGTAAAATTGACAGAATAATGTTAAAGGCAAAAAAACTGCTGTTTTTTGTTGTTGTTGTTGTTGGATGAATAAACCAAAATGTGTATTTATGACTAATTGTGCTAATTTTTGTCTCACCCTTCTTCTCTTTAGATCAACTATATTTTGCCATWCTTCAGCAGAAGATCAAGAGCACAGCTGACCGACACTGTTTCAGCATAGATGAAGAGCTGGCATATGAGAAGTGAGTAGTATTTTTCTACTTTGTCCCTTTTAGCCTCAAACAGAGTGCGGTAAAACGTTTTAAATAGCTTTGTAACTGTTATAATCGTGCAGATTTGATTCATCTGATTTGATGAATAATCTCAATTTTAAATGCACACATATCAGGTTTGAAGTTACTCAAAAAGTCTAATGGTTTCAAAAAAATATGCACATAATAGAAATAAAGCAAATAAAAAGGGTGCATATTTGCAGCAGTGCCTGCAGTTTTGGKGGGGCATGTTGTGAAGAGTGGAGTTGTTTTTATGTGTTGTCGTTCAGCTGGAGAGAAGCAGAACARGACTGACCTGAGGTTTGACCCGGTAGTACCAAAAAGACCACTCCATTTTGCAACTCTTTCTCCTTTTTGGTTTTGACCCACTCTGCCATCAAATGCTTCCAAATATAGTTTTTACTCATATCAGTTTTTTCACTGTGTCATTCTGATTTGGTTGATTCGAACTAGAGAAACTTCCCCAGAGACGATGGCTGGTTGCAGAAATAGAAATTCTGACAGTCTCTCTCTCTCTCTCTCTCTCTCTCTCTCTCTCTCTCTCTCTCTCTCTCTCTCTCTCT